AGCACCTCCTCCCCTCCTTCTGCACTGGCCTTGGTGTCAGCAGAGTCGTTCCTCTCACATCTTCTCACTCCTCTCTCCAGCTGCAAAAAGCTCCTGCTATTTTTTTTTTTTATCTTATCTTCTTATCTCTGTTGCCCCAGAGGCACTACCACCATGGCTGATGGGCTCGGCCTTGGCCAGCGGTGGGTCCCTCTTGGAACCAGCTGGCATTGGCTCTGTCGGACATGGGGGAAGCTTCAAGCAGCTTCTCACAGAAGCCACCCTTGTAGCTCTCCCGCTACCAAAACCTTGCCACGCAAACCCAAAACATGGCTACGATGGTCAGCTGTGGGGATAGCTGGTGGCACGGTCCACCTAACCTCTTCACTTATGCTCCAACATGCTCCTTGACTGAGGTGCAGCACAGGTACCGTGCTTACCCCATGTGTAAGATTCATCAAGGAGTTGAGGCCTCACTCTGAAAATCTTAAAGAGTTTTCAAGTCAGGTTCCAAGAGAGTCTTAATTCTGGAATGGCAGACAGCCGCTGTTCCAAAGGGCCTGCAGGGAAAGCTGTTCTCCTTACGACTCGGGCTACTGCATTTACAAGGATAAGGGAAACCCAAGATCCACCTGAGCAAGGATTTGAATCCAAATCTCACAAATTCCCAGATGACTAAACTACAGAATAACCAGTAGTAGAACCTCTCAATCTGTTCTTAAATTTTACTCCATTTTGATATAAATTAATGAGTACTTACTGAATCAGAGCCTTTTGGATGGACAGATGAATTGTGATTATAACAAGGGAATTGTTTACACTCTAACTTCAGCCAAATAAATGTTTTGAGGTTTCATTGCATAAAATAGCTCTAACATGAAACAAACCCCAGTGTTCTGCTCTAAGCTTTGTGCATAATGTACTTTCAAGGGGCCAAATTCAAGATAAAATGTATGAGTGCAAGTATCAACAGAAGAGAAGATCTGGCAGTGATTTAAAGGCTGATACAGAGGGACATGTTGGCTTCTTGGATGATGTTCTGTTCTGTAATTCTGTGTAAGTTCTGGCATCCACGTTTTAAACTGATGGTGAAAAAACCAGACAATACAGAGAGAAAACATTATTGAGGATATGAACTGACAAAATACTTGAATTTTTCAAATAGCCTGATTATGGTGCAGACATCTTTGAAAAGTAAAAAAAAAAAATAAAAAAAAATTCCAGCTATTTAGAAGTTTTTTTAATCTAGCAAAAGCCAAAAAGCTCCACTCAAAGACACATTCAAGTCAGTAAAACAGCAGTTGAATGAAAATGGAATGCACTGAAAGAAACGGGTGTCTTCAGATCAGGCAGACTTGCCCAAGTCCAACTACTTGGGACTTAATTTGCACTTAACATGAAAGCAACCTGGTGAAGTTCTATGGGCTGAGCAGGACAGAGATGAGTTTAAATGAGATAAATGGTTTAATAATCCCTTCAGGACCTAAATCTGATTCATTGTGCATCAGGAGCCATTGCCTCTTTTCACACTAGAAACTAGAACTGCTGTCATCCTTTGAAGACCATGAATAAATTACCATTTCCAGCATTGGCAGTGACCATTTTCAATTTGAGGAAGGCCATTTTCCAAAATATGCATTAAAATTCATACAATTTCTCCTCCCAACTTGCTTGAGGGGATATTTTGATTCCTGATAAGTTTAATAGTGCCAGAGAAACATTAGGGGGTCTTTTGGCCAGACCTAGCAGTAAGAAATTTCATTTCAGTTCCTATGGAGAGTTTTGTGACTGACAGGATGACTGAAGATAAAATTCCAGCTACACTAGACAACAGTCTGTTTCTTCTAAAAAAAAAATAAAAAAATTAAATCTGTAATTAGGTTCTGAATTGTGTAGTATTTATTACAGTTAATACAAACATCTCTCAAACAGTATCTGCCCTCAGTCACTGAACAGACAGGCAAACAGAAGCAAGTAATATTAAATACTTCAGGCTTTGGGAAAAAAACCTCACAATGACAACCAACCACCTTTATATAGTTATGCAATAGTTGAACTATTTAGTGCCCCAAGAAAAAATAGTTATCCTGTGCTCCTGAAAAGCAAGTGATCTTTCTTCATGAAGTACAGTGGTGTTTTATAAAACTGTAATTACCCCACTAAAAAAAAAAACTTAAAAATATTGAATGACTAGCAAAAGGTCACAGTAGATCTAAGAGATACAAGATCTGATGTTGCTACCTGGCAAATCTTTCCATCCCAACAGTTCTATTCCATCTGTAAGCGCTGCACTAACATCCAGTAAGAAATAACCACTCAAGATCTTTATTGACAGAGGAGAATGTAATTTTACTGCAGCACATGGCAGAAAACTTGTTACTCCAACCCCTTCCACTGCAGCAGCCATCCCTAACAATACACTGATTTGTGATGACCATTAAGGCTGTGACACCAAAACAAGGTATCCTGCTTTCACTTTTGTGAACACAGCACTTGTTAGCTGTACTGGACTATGAGTGCCAGGTGACACTGTGGTCTCCGTCCCCACTCTTACCACACTCCAGCCCTCTCAATGACACAGGCATGGGAGCAAGCGTGGAGACCTTTTCCTTCTCCTGCAGTGCAGCTTCCTTCCTTACGTCACGGCCCGTTAGCTCAGTGTTAGTGTCACACTCAGACCCAGAAATTGTTCTGTGGGGCTACCTTCACAACAGCTTTCAGGAGAAAGGGTGTATGACAGAGGAGAAATGCCTGAGGGATCTATCAATCCAGCCCGGCAGCAGGACAGCTGCTACTCTAGTTACTACAGTGAAGAACCCCTCATGAAGGCGCTGGCAATCAGGAACAGTCCACAAGGCACCAGAACACCCCTTCGTTCTATGAAGTAAAGCCACTGAAGTTCTCAGCAGACAGTTGTGCTGCTCCATGCAACGCAAAGGTAAATTTGGAAATGCAAGTGCTTTTAGAGTTCACCTGCCAGTTATGAAGGTGCTCTGGCTCTCTTGTCATTCAAGAGCAAAGCACTTCCTACAGAATGAAAAACCAGCTGCCAACAAAAAAGACAGGAAGCCCCAACGTCTCTGAGGTACATCACTTGCAAACACAGATTAAGAACCAGTACGCCTTAAAGAACAAGCATAGAAATTTTTCCAATTAAAATTTTATTGACATTCCTGGAAAATTAATCTGAATTTATGATCTTGGTCTCTCCTTCTTGCCCTTGTACAAAGCCAAAAGAGAAACATTGGCTACTTTGACAACCTTGAAGCGAACTCCAGGAATGTCACCAACAGCATGACCCTTCCGACCGAAACCAGCAACCAGAACTTCATCGTTTTCCTGCAATGAAAGGCCACACAGTTACAAAGCTGTGAACATTAAACCTGTACACACTTCTTAAATGGCTAACGTTAGAAAGTCTAGGGTGAGGCTCAAACTTAAAGAACAGGTAGAAATACTGAAGGCTATTGATAGATACACATTAATAAAGGACTGTTATCCCCGTCAGAGTTTTGGAGAAAGGAAACATGAGCAGAGACATCATTTAGCCTGCAGCGGCACACCTTTGCTAGAGGAGAGGAAAGCACAAACACACCTCATGTTTTTTGTCTGCCACTACAGCTTTAAGATAAACACGGTACAGAGTGGCACTAACCCTCACCTAACCATCCCTTAAATGCATCAATTACCAATAATTTCTTGAAAATTACCTCGATGAAGTTCAGGCATCCATCATTAGGAACAAAAGCTGTTATTTTTTTGCCATTCTTAATCAGCTGGACTCTCACACACTTCCTGATGGCAGAGTTGGGCTGTTTAGCTTCCACTCCACTAAAATGGAAGCACATGGAAATAAGTAAGCAAAAATCAGTTTGATTAACTAGCAATATTACACCACCAACAATTACTGTATTATTTGTACTAAGTGCAAGTTGTATCTGTACTTCAAAACCATAAACTGTTATTTACCTGTTTAGAGCTACTCAATATATAAAAGCCCAGTTCCTAAGCTGAGTAAAACATGAAAATTAATTGTCTACTGACACATACCAATTCAGTAAATAAAGAACTGGAGAGAAAGAAAAAAAACAGAGAAACACCTTGAAGCCCTGGCAGTGTCCCAATTAAGCTTATAAATTAAGGAAAAAAAAAAAAAGATGACTACAAGACAAGCAGATGGGATCTTTGACACAAGGCACACACACAAAATCCACTCCCCCGAATCCTGAACTAAATGATATTTTTATGAGAAAAAATACCTTTCTGCACAGCTGCTTAGGAAAATAAACCACGTTTTCAATCCAGCATATAGAAACTATGAGGAACGTGGCACGTTACAGATAGCAAAACCTCTCACATATTTAGAAAATCAAATAGCTTAGTGGTGTTTCTTCCCTGAGATCCCCCTGAGAGGCCCCATGTTCCGGGGGACTTTCCCGGGCAGCCAGAGGCCCGCAGCCCAATCTTGCAGAGATCTTGGAAAACTTCCCCCCCCCCCCCCCCCCCGCCGCTCTCCCGCACCCCACGGCGGCGGCACTCCACGAAGCTCTACGCACACTTTCTCCAGGACGATCCCCTTGGCGTGAGAGGCGCCGCCGAAGGGGTTGGCTTTCAGCGCCGTGCCCAGGTGGGCCTTCTTATACTGCTTGTCGTGCCACTTCTGGTCGCGGCGGTGGCTGCGGAGCTTCCGG